ATTTCCACTCAGATCTCAGAGAATCTCACCAGGTGCTTCATCCTGGAAAAAATAGGTCCCTCATTTCTGTCTCCTTCCAAACAGAGCTCATTCTATCTGGGATGTTAATTCAATCCAACATCAACAACTGAGACAAAATGTCTTAACAAGATGAGTGGTACTTAGCACATTTGATTAGACAGGAAGACTTAAATTCAACGTGAGCATGAAATGGGGAACAGAGACCTCCTGGGCACTGATTAGAGTTCTGACAGGTGCTGGTGGGGGAGGGAGGAGCCCTAATCACCAGCACCTATCCAGCATGTAAGTGTCTCCTGCATCCACCAGAGGGAGCTGTGGACCAGGCACCTGCTCAGGGTTCCACAGCTCCTCAGCTGCTTTCCTGCCTGTTGGTGGAGTTCCTGTTCCGTCCACTTGGAGGAGCCCTTTCTCCCTTATAGGGTCTTCCCAATTCACAAGCAGAATGCAGGCTGAGGTTGAGGGAGGGGCTTCGCAGCCTCCAGAGTGAGAAACATTTGCATGGAGACCTCCCACTCTGAGGGCCAGAAGAACAGATAAGAAGGGAGGCCGGGCTCAGCCCTCACTGTGGGCTCAGGAAGCAGGGACTTGGGCATCTCAGCCATAGCCTGGGCTCCACTGCTCCTCACAGTCCTGGATCACTGCACAGGTGGCTGCCTGCAGGGCATTCTGGGAGTGCACCTGGGTGGCATCTTGGATGCTGCCAGCTTCCCCTAACTTGGGGGACGTGCTGACCTGTCCTCACGGATGTGTGTGTGTCTTCTCTCCTGCAGGGTCCTGGGCCCAGTTTGTGCTGACTCAGCCCCAGTCTGTGTCGGGATCCCCGGGGCAGACGGTCTCCATATCCTGCAAATGCGACAGTGGCAACATTGAGGAGAAATATGTGCACTGGTACCAGCAGCACCCAGGCGGTGCCCCCACCATGGTCATCTACAATGATGATCAGAGACCGTCGGGGGTTCCTGATCGTTTCTCTGGCTCCATCGACAGCGCCTCCAACTCTGCCTCCCTGACCATCACTGGGCTGCTGGCTGAGGACGAATCTGTATACTTCTGTCAGTCTTTTGATAGCGATGCTAATCCCACAGTGATCCAGACTCATGGGGAAGTGAGACAGAAACTCCCCCAGGTCCCCGCCCAGCCTGTGCCCAGCAGGAGGTTGCTCTTTGCCCTGTGTTCTGCTGGAGGCCTGGGGTTGGAATCCATGCACATGGATCCTCTCTGTTCTTCCCAGCATGGAGATGTGCTGTTCCCCACACGTTCATGGATGGCCTCCTGCTCCCTTCTCAGTCACTCATAGAACAGCTGTAGTGCACAAGTGGGTTTCTGAGCCTGGGAGCTGTGGACGGGATGGGCAGGTCCTTCCTTGTGGGGAGGGCTCTTCGGTGCAGTGCAGGACATTGGGAGCTGCAGTGGGTCCAGCAGGGCAGAAGCCCATAGCCCTCTAATCACAGTCCAGACAAATGGAATGAACTCCAGGCATTTCAAATATTTCAGGGGCTCTGGAAACAGACTGGCCCCTGTGTGAGTTGGACTGGAGTAGAGTCACCTGCTGTCAGCTCCAGGCAAGATTATGGCTTAAATCTCATTTGTGTCCTGCTGCTCTCAACAGGTACAGGGGTTTTCTCTCTTTGATGTTGATTCCCTTTGACCACCCAAAGTATTCACAACAGATTTCAAATGATCATATGGGTATGTGATTAATGTCGTAAACCCATGAAGTCTCTCTCTATCTGTTACCCAATAATATGGAGTCTTCCCACAACCAATCTGTTAAGCATGAGTGTTGACCAAACACGTATGCAATTAACATTTCAAAAATGTTCACAATTCCCCTAAGAATAGGAAATGCATTCATCGTGGTGGCTTCTCTAACAGCGTCTACATCAAACATGGCATAAAGAAGGAGTAAGTTGTGTCAAGGTCTTGCAGTCTCTCAGTTTCCACTTTGGGGTGGATGTCATACACCCAGACAGGAGCAGCAACACAGCTGGGTGACGATGCTGTCAGGTCTTCTGCCCTGTGACTGGCTTCACGTTGTATCCTCCACTACCTCAGTGCCATCGGAATTGTCCAGTCCAGTGCAGTCCCCATGAACTGCGTGTGAATGCTCATGCTTAAATTTCGTTTCTTAAAATTCAGTAAAATTTACAAACTATAGCAGTCACATTCCTGGTGCTTCACCTGCGTAACAAATGCTTTTCCCTGTTTTCCTCACATTTCTACTGCTCCCTCCAACTGAGGCTCACGGCCTCTTCTCTTATCAAGAATCCCAGAAGCCACAGCCAAGAGTCTGAGTCCAGCCTTCAGCCGTCCATGGGACTTGATATAACTCTGGGTGTTTCTGAACAGAGGACCCATGCTGTGCCTGTGAAGCAATGCTGTCAGGAAGCAGGACTCTGAACGTTGTTATTCTGAGTGTTCTCATGCCATGTTGCCTGTGGTCAGCCTTGTATTCCTATATATTCCTCTACTGCATTCTAAGAAAGCATTGGGCACTTGTCTTGTTCTGGCAGAAATGGACACTTCCTGTTTGATTTTTCAATCTTGGAAATGTACTGGTAAAGTTACTTGGTCTCTCAAACAGCTATTGTCAAGTAATTAATGTAGGTTTTGGACAACAGTAGGTATATACTCATCAGACAGTAGTTCATGTTATGAGGAATGGGCACATCACCAGCTGTGAACATTTTCATAGATCTTTTGTCCATGAAGGTGGAGACACTGTTGATCCAAGCCCTCCATAGCCAGCTCTGAGGTTGACCAGCTGTCTGCACCCACCTGCTCTCTCACTACATCATACATCTGTCCCTGGAGCCCACTGGTCAACCCCCAAGAACCTGGTACCCCCAAGACACTAAGTACACAAGGCAGTGTTTTGTGTGTCTAATGCTATGCCACTGTCAGTACCCAGAAAGCACAGTGGTCAGTGACCCCCATAGGTCCAACACTGATGCTTCATGCTCTCACATGAGGATTTCCGTCTTTTCAAAACATCGACACCTTCAACTCAACCCAAATCTTCAGTTTTCTTCTGTTATCAGGTACCAGACACACAGTGGCTCAGCCTTGGCTTTTGCAGTCACTTGCAGAATTAACTGGTGAATGGAATATCCATCTCTCTCCCCCTCCCTCCCTCCCTCTTTCTCCCTAACTCAAACTTTCAAATAAATAAACAGATCTTTGAAAATGGTACACATTTGGAGTTCCAGCATCTCAACCAGGGGGCCTGGGATCAAGTCCTGCTCTGCCCCTGACCCAGCTTCCTGCACATGGCCTGGGGGCCGCAGGAGCTGCCCAAATACTTGGGTTCCTGTCACTCATGTTGAAGCCCTGAGTGTAGCTGTGGGCTCCTGCCTTCAGCCTGGCTCAGCCCTGTTTTGCACATTTGGAGTGAACCACAGATCAGAGGATCTCTCTCTCTCTCTCTCTCTCTCTCTCTCTCTGTCTCTACCTCTCTCTCTCTTCTCCCTTGCTCTCCCTCTCACTACTCTCTCTCCCTCCTTCCATTGCACTTTCCAATAAATAATTAAATAACTGCTGACAACTTACTTTGTGCCCTATGTGTAGGTCAGATACAGGGAGTTAGAAGCACAGTAACTGCACAGATTATCAGGTCCCAGCTTCCACAATCAGGCTGTGAGTGTGTGAATGGGCACAGTGACTGGTGAGCTGCAGAATATCTGTGGTCCTCAGGTCTCTGGGTCATGGGGAAGTGTATGCACTGTCACCAGTAGGGGGCGCTGTGGGACTGTCCTGTGTTACCCTGTGCTCACTCCTGGGGATGCAGCAGCTGTTCCCTTGAAACTTGGTAGAGTGTCCTGAGCAAGAACCTTTGTGTTGTCTCACAGGTGCTTCCTCTCCCTCAAGGCATCCCCAGGGAGGACAACAAACCCTCTTCCTCGTAGTCTGCAGTGGGAGCTGAGCCCCAGCACCAGGGCTCAGGGAGGGGCGGGGCAGGCACTGGGTGGGGCCTCATTTGCATGTGCAGCCCTCCTCTGGCACAGGCTGGGGAAGAAAAGGAGGCCTGGGGCAGCACAGCCCACTGTGGGCGTCAGGGGCTGTGACCACCATGGCCTGGGCTCCTCTGCTCCTGCTGCTCCTCTCTCACTGCACAGGTAGGGACGGCCCTGGGGACCAGGTCCCAGCCTGGCTCAGACCCCTTGCTCAGAGCCCTGAGGGACGTGAGCCTGACCTCTGCCCCCTCCCCGTGTGTCTGTGTCTGCAGGTTCCCTCTCCCAGCCTGTGCTGACTCAGCCACCCTCCCTGTCTGCATCTCTGGGCACAACAGCCAGACTCACCTGCACCCTGAGCACTGGCTACAGTGTTGGCAAGTACCCTTTAGTGTGGCTCCAGCAGGTGCCAGGGAGGCCTCCCAGGTATCTCCTGACCTACCACACAGAAGAATTTAAACACCAGGGCTCCGGGGTGCACAGCCGCTTCTCTGGATCCAAGGACACCTCAGAGAATGCAGGTGTCCTGAGCATCTCTGGGCTGCAGCCCGAGGACGAGGCCGACTATTACTGTGTTACTGCTCATGCTACTGAGAGCAGCCTCCATGCACACAGTGCTTCAGACGATGAGGAAGTGAGACAAAAACCCCGGTTCCTCAGCCATGGGCTCTGAGCATCTTTAGTGGTGAATATCTGTGGAGACCTCTGAGTGCAAGTTCAGTGCAGCAGGCTGTGCCCAGGACCAGGGGCCAGTGACACACACAGGTGCAGCCTGACCCTGAGCCACCCAGGGCATCTGGGGAAGGCAGAGACAGAGGAGGTCTCAGAGCCCAGGGCACAGCCCTGTGCATTCTGCAATAAGCTGGGACATGGATGAGACATAAGAAAATGCAAACCTCGGACTCCAGTGCTGAGACGATGTTGACGTTCAAGTTGTGTGACAGAGACCTCCCAAGAGCTGTCACTAAATCCTTTCAATAGTGAATGTCTAATGCTTTAGAAACAAATGGAAAAGATGTGGAAGTATAACATATAAGGCATACATGGAAACCAGGTGTAAATTATGAAAGTGTGTTTTTTGAAAGTGACATAAAAAAGAAAAATTTTCATAGAAATAAAAACAAAGTTAATACTTAAACTGAAATTCAGACATGTGGAGATTCAATAGCACAGCAGGCCAGGAAATGAAAAACCTACAAATTCCGAATAACAACAGCAAAACACAAAAAAATAATCTGCTTGAGCTGGAGGAGGTTCAATGGAAAACAAAATTCCATGTTTGTTCAAAGGGAAAAAGAGCTGCTGAACATTCTGGGGCATTCTCCAGGTCATTCCCATTCTGTGGTTCCTGTCACCAGGGGGCGCTGTGGATCCATGCAGCAGTGACAGTGTTTGATGCAGATTGAAAGTGTTGCTGGACTCTGGCCTCAGAATCAGCCCTTAAGGCATTTGGATCTGGCTAAAAAGCCCATGAGAGCATTTCAGGCATGGGAAGTCAAGACACTGTGGCAAAAATGACCTCAATGAAAGATCTCTGTGAGCCAGATTATGGTAGAAAGAAGGGGCCATCAAAGAAGGAGGTACCTTTCCCTGAAAGGAGGAGAGAACTTCCACTCTGATTATGGCCTTGGCTAAATAAGATCCGAGTTTGTGGACTCAAGAGTCTTCCATAGCCTTGGCAGCTCATGACAAGAGCCTCGGGTGATCACTGACATCATAAATAAGAGTGTCAATTGTTAAATCAACAACAGGAGTCACTGTGCACTTGCTCCCCAAGTAGGACCTCTGTCCTTAATGTGTTGTGCTATGAGAATTGATGGTAAATCTAGTCTTCACATGGTATTTTATACTTTGTGTGTCTGTGTGGGTGCAAAATGTTGAATCTTTTAGTATCAGGTTGATCTTCTGGAGGGTGAACCAACGGCAAAAGGAAGACCTTTCTCTCTCTGTCTCTCTCTCACTGTCCACTCTGCCTGTCCAAATAAAAAAAAAAAAAAAAAAAAAAAAAAAAAAGAAATATAATTAAAAATAAATCTTAATGAAGATTGGGATGGGAGAGGGAGTAGGAGATGGGATGATTTGTGGGTGGGAGGGTGGTTATGGAGGAAAGATCCGCTATAATCCAAAAGTTGTTTTTTGAAATTTAGACTTATTCAATAAAAGTTTTCTATAAAAAATTTAAAAGAAAACTGTTGCTCGTTATAGGGTCCTGGACATAAACTAAATGACAACAGGGAGAAGCCATAGCAGGTGCTTCCTCCCCAGAGACCCAGGCAGCACTCCCAGCCTCCCCAGCCTCACTGATAACTCACAGCTCCCTGACCCTGGACTCAGAATTGGCTGCAGGTGGGGACGGAGGGGGAGGGGAGGTCTTAGGCAGTGTGACCCTGGCTGCTCCTCTCCCTCTACTCTGACCTCACTGAATCTCCCACTTGCTGTTCCTGGGTTGCTCCTCACTCCCAGTGAATCCAGGGCGCCCCTCCCAAGGGGGGTCATTCTTCCAGCGCTCCCAACCCTGTTCCCTGTGGGTTCAGCTGTGAGGGGCTCAGGAGGACGAGGCAGCCTGGCATCCTCAGCCACCAGCAGGTGTGCTCGGGGCCGACTGGCACAGTGGCTGGCTATGATCATGTCTCCTCCTGTGTGTATTCACTGCGGGTGCGGTGGGTGTCTGAGACTGTGTTCCATGAGGATGCCCTGTCAAGTGGGCGGAGCCACCTGCTGCTCCCACTGAGGAGGCAAAGAGAACACGGAAGCCAGGGATGAGGTGGGGGCTACCCTGAGTAGTGGCCCGGGACTCCCCCAAAGGACACCCAGCCATGGGGGCTGCACATGGTGTCAAAATGGGGCATGGTTGCTCAGAGCAAGAGGAGCAGATTTGCATGAAGGACGTCTCAGGCTCCTCAGGGCCAGGGCGGGGATAAGAGCCCTGCAGAGCTTTGGCCTTGGCTGAGCCCTGGGGAGTCTGCACCATGGTCTGCACCCTGCACCTCCTCTTCCTCACTCTCAGTGCACAGGTCAGGAGGGGCCTCACATCAAGACCCCCGGGTCACCTAACTCTCCCACCTCCTGGGAGCAATGCCCCCTCCCCGTGCTTCCTCAGGGTAACGGTGTCTTTGCTTTCAGGGTCCCTGTCCCAGCCTGTGCTGACTCAGTCGCCCTCTGCGTCTGCCACCCTGGGAGCCTCGGCCAAGCTCACCTGCACCCTGAGCAGTGTCCACAGACCTACTATATTGAATGGCATCAGCAGCAGTCAGGGGAGTCCCCTCGGTACCTGATGTGGCTTAAGAGTGATGGAAGCGGCCGGCGCCACGGCTCCCTAGGCTAATCCTCCGCCTTGCGTCGCGGCACACCGGGTTCTACTCCTGGTCGGGGCGCCGGATTCTGTCCCGGTTGCCCCTTTTCCAGGCCAGCTCTCTACTGTGGCCAGGGAGTGCAGTGGAGGATGGCCCAAGTACTTGGGCCCTGCACCCCATGGGAGACCAGGAGAAGTACCTGGCTCCTGCCATCGCATCAGCGCTGTGCACTGGCCGCATTGCGCCGGCCGTGGCAGCCATTGGAGGGTAAACCAATGGCAAAGGAAGACCTTTCTCTCTGTCTCTCTCTCTCTCACTGTCCACTCCGCCTGTCAAAAAAAAAAAAAAAGAGTGATGGAAGCTACACCAAGGGGACCGGGGTCCCTGATCGTTTCTCGGGCTCCTGCTCTGGGGCTGACCACTGCTTGATCATCTCCAGCATCCAGGCTGAGGACGAAGCCGACTACATCTGTGGTGTACCTGTTAGCAATGTGTACACACAGTGACCCAGCTGAACGAGGAAGTGGGACAAAAACCCCCTTCTTTGTTCTCTGATCAAGGCTGTCGCATGGTCTCTGACTGCTGAGGTCCTGAACACTCAGAAATCATCATGTTTTCTTTTTTCCCCCCTTCCTTCCTTCCTTCCTTCCTTCCTTCCTTCCTTCCTTCCTTCCTTCCTTCCTTCCTTCCTTCCTTCCTTCCTTTCTTTCTTTCTCTCTCTCTCTCTCTTTCTCTCTCTCTCTCTTTCTCTCTCTCTCTCTTTCTCTCTTTCTCTCTCTCTTTCTCTCTCTCTTTCTCTCTCTCTTTCCTTCCTATTTGTACATTGCAAGGAGAGTGCAAGAAGGCTCATGATTGCTGCCCAGAGGTTTCTGGGAAGACTCAGAGCCAGACACCCACAGAGGACACAGCAGTCATGATAGTGAAGTCATGTAACAGATCCTGGCTCACGTGGGCGACCACACTGTTAGTCCGTGGGCATCAGATGAGTTTTCCAGGTGCTCCCACGTCCAGATGAGGCTCAGGGTGACCTTCACTGCTGCTTCCTCCAGATCCATTTCCATGGCCTCATCTAGAACAGCCTAAGGATGCTCTGACGTAAGACACTAGAATTCTATCTACAGGGTAGGAAGAACCCCTGCAACAATGGAGACAGAGATGAGGAACATGTGTGCAATGGAAGCAACTCCTTCAAGCCTCATCTGCTTCCCAAATTCTCATTGTCTTTCTGTACCTGATTGGGTGCAAGGCCCAGGGAGGAGAAACTGAACCCATGCAGGAGGAACTTTATCCATGCAGGAGAAGATGGAAAATGACATGCAATACATTTTTCAGAAAATGGAAAGTGAAATAGAGGAGTCACCATAAAGTCAGCCCTGCAGTTCGCTTCCTGAAGAGTGGATCTTGTCGCTTCATTCATTCTGACGCTTCGTGTGTTTGTGTAGTGGAATATCACTCTGATTCAGTTTAGCATTGCTCAGATCCATGATGATAAATAGATCTCTTTGTTTCACTCAAAACTGATTCTGAACCAGACCTGTTCATCCATCCACTGAATGTCTGCACCGCACGTTAGGGGCTTCTTTCTCTTCTCTTTGTCATCATCTGAATTTTTTTTCTTCTGCATCCCTCATCTCACCCAGAGACCCTGCAGCAGGGACACCTGGCAGGGATTCAAAAAGGGGGCGGGGTTTGGGCCAGCTCCACCCCTACAACTCATGGATTGGATTCAGCCTCAGAATCTCTCTTTGCCAAGAGCTCCCAGGTGGGCCTTCAGCCATGGAATCTATTTTTTTAAACCACAATGCACTCAAAAACTTATCTCTCAAACATTAAAGGTTACAGTTGAATTTGCTTCCATAGAGGTTGTACATTTGAATGGAAAAACAAGTGAAACCCACAACTCGCCTTTGCAGTCATCCATGAGCTGTGGGGCATGGACAGGACACTGTCAACAGCAGCCCAGAATGCACAGTGTCCACCCACTCTGCCCCTCCAGAAGACTCTGCTGTGCGGAGCACAGGATCATCTTCCATCCCCTGCCCAGCAGAAGCAGGAGTGGCCCAGTGCCCAGTGGTTTCATGTCAGTGGGGTCCAGTGTACACCTGAGCCCCCATCCTCACCAGGCATCAGCAGGCCTGAGCACAGAGTGCAGTCGGGGACAGTGAGAGCCCCAATTCCTTCCCCTCGCCTGTCACTGCTGTGCCCCGTGGGGATCTGAGCTGCAGCCTCCAGCCCTCAGCAATGAGGCTGGGTCAGGAGGAGAAGCTGAGCGAGGCTGCCCTGCAGGAGTGTCCATGGTGTCTGTTGGGCCTGGGGAGGAGCTGAGCCCGAGTCTGTCCTGGGATAAAGCAGTGCTGGGTGGGGAAGGGTGGGAGAGCATAGAGTGGTGGACTTGAACTTGGGTGACA